GCTGCCCTTTATGGTAAGCTCAGAGGCGCAGGAAGCCGGAGCCCGCGCCCTGTGAGAGCGTAGGAAATAGAAGAGCCCGACCGCACGTCACATGCTGAGACGGCACCACACGTCGCGACAGCAGCACTGCGGGGGGACGGGGAGGGGGGTGCAGGCAGGACGGGACCCCCCCCAGAACTGTGGGACACGGCGGGGGCCGGCGGCGGAGGGGCGGCAGCGCGGGAGGATGCTGGTGGCTGGAGGATGGAGGAGGCGGTGGTGAAGCAGGGTGTGCTCCACCTCCAGCTGCAGCAGACTTTTGGGAAGGTGAGGAGGTGGTGAGGGGGGGCTGCTCGGTCCTTGGGGAACCCCCCCTGTGGGGGGGCTGGGCTGGAAATGGGGGGGAGAGAGCGGGGGTTGCACCCAAAGGGAATGGGATGCTCCCACCCGTTGGCTCCTCAACCATCCTTGGGCTCTCCGTCAGGCCAGTGGGGACAGGGAGGAGGATGGAAGGAGCTGGGGACATGCCACCAAGAGAAGACCCCCCCCCCTTGGCTGGACCCCCCCAGCACCAAGTGGGAGCCGTGGAATGAAGGGCTGCAACCCCCAGAGCCTCGTGGCTTTCGGTGGCCGATAACGCCCAGGGTTTGGCAACGGCTCCTGCTCTTGTGCAAGAAGGGGAAGGAGCCACCCTGGTGTCTCCGGGTCCCTCGCCCGGGCAGGGGGCAGGTGGTCCCCGTGGCCACCATCCACGGGGTGGGGGGGCTCAAAATGCCAGGGGGCAGGGTGGCAAGCAAGGGGACAGGCACGGCATTGCCTTCCTGCAGCACGGTGCCAGCCACGGAGGAGGACGGGGCAGGGGGCACCCCCATGGTGGGTCCCCAAAAACACTCCCCAGCAAAAAGGGTGCCGTATTTCGGCACAGCCCCCGGTGCCAGGAGCCGCCGCGGAGAATGGTCTGATGTGGGTGTGAGGCTTCCTCCTCCTCCTCCTCCTCCTCCGTTTCCGTGCACCCTGGGCGGCTGCCTCCCCGGAGGGCGAGCAGGGAATGGCTTGGAAAATCGGTATTTTCAGGGAAAACGCAGAAAAAGAGGAGCTGAAAGTCCTTTGGCGTTGGGGGGGATGTGGGCACAGCTTTGGGGTGGGATGGATCCCGGTGCCGGGTGGGGATGGGATGCTGCCGGTGGCTTTCCCGGCTGGAAAAGCCTTGCCCTGTTAGGGATATGGCTGGTGATGCTCTTAATTAGGGATAATTTTCCCTACTCAGCCCAATTAATCTCCCCCCCACCCTGGCTTTGGCCATCCAACCAAACCCAGTGCGAGATCCTGCCCGGTTTGAACCCATATCCTGCCCCGGGGGTGGCACATGATGCCGAGGGGATTAAAAACTCCTGGAAAAGTGAACAAACTCTGGGTTTTTTCTCCTCTGGCGGCAGAAATGGAAGAAGTTCTGGGGCATCTTGTACCGGGAAAGCCCTTGCTCCACCGCCCGCCTGGAGCTCTTCGAGGGCTCGGCTCCACCAGCTGCCGAAAAGCTTCGGAAAAGCGAGGGCAGCAAGAAGCTGGTCAAGCTGAGCGACTGTGTCCACGTGGCCGAGGTCGGTGGCGATGCTGGTTGCCCCAAGGAGACCTTCCCCTTCCTCCTGGAGACCACCGACAAGCGGTTCCTCCTGGCTGCCGAGGGCACGGAGGTGGCCGACTGGATCCAGAAGCTGTGCGAGCTGGCCTTCCCGGTAACGCAGCCACGGGGGGTACCTGGGGCACGGGGTATGGGGGGATCCCTGGGGGGAAATCCCGATGGGGATGCCCTGCTGTGTCCTCGGATCCTGAGGGAAAATCCCGATGGGGATGCCCTGCTCTGCCCTCAGATTCCTGAAGGAAAATCCTGATGGGGGATGCCCTGCTCTGCCCTGGGATCCTGCAGGAAAGTCCTCGGATCCTGAGGGAAAATCCCGATGGGGATGCCCTGCTCTGCCCTGGGATCCTGCAGGAAAGTCCCAATGGGGGATGCCCTGCTCGGCCCTCGGATCCCTGCGGGAAGATCCCAATGGGAGATGCCCTCGGATCCCTTTGGAAAAATCCCCATGGGGATGCCCTTCTCTGTCCACTGATCCCTGGAGGAAAATCCCAATGGGGATGCCCTGCTCTGTCCACTGATCCCTGCAGGAAGATCCCAATGGGGATGCTCTGCTCTGCCCTGGGATCCTGAGGGAAAATCCCAATGGGGATGCCCTGCTCTGCCCTCGGATCCCTGAGGGTAGATTCCCATGGGGGATCCATCCTTGGATCCTGTGGGAAAATCCGGATTGGGGATGCCCTGCTCTGCCCTCGGATCCTACAGGAAAATCCCAATGGGAATACCCTGCTCTGCCCTCAGATTCCTGCAGGAAAATCCCGATGGGGATGCCCTGCTCCATCCTTGGATCCTGTGGGAAAATCCGGATGGGGGATGCCCTGCTCCATCCTCTGATCCTGAGGGAAAATCCCAATGGGGATGCCCTGCTCTGCCCTCGGATCCCTGAGGGTAGATCCCGATGGGGGATCCATCCTTGGATCCTGTGGGGAAATTCTGATGGGGGATGCCCTGCTCTGCCCTGGGATCCTACAGGAAAATCCCAATGGGGATGCCCTGCTCTGCCCTCGGATCCCTGAGGGTAGATCCTGATGGGGGATGCCCTGCTCAATCCTCGGATCCTGAGGGAAAATCCGGATGGAGGATGCCCTGCTCTGTGCCCAGATCCCTGAGGGAAAATCCCAATGGGGATGCCCTGCTCTGCCCTGGGATCCTACAGGAAAATTCTGATGGGGGATGCCCTGCTCTGCCCTGGGATCCTACAGGAAAATTCTGATGGGGGATGCCCTGCTCTGCCCTGGGATCCTACAGGAAAATCCCAATGGGGGATGCCCTGCTCTGCCTTCGGGTCCCTGCAGGTAGATCCCGATGGGGGATCCATCCTTGGATCCTGTGGGCAAATCCGAATGGGGGATGCCCTGCTCCATCCTCAGATCCTGCAGGAAGGTCCCAATGGGGATGCCCTGCTCTGTCCTGTGATCCTGCAGGAAAATCCTGATGGGGATGCCCTGCTCTGCCCTCGGGTCTCTGTGGGAAGATCCCGATGGGAGATGCCCTCTCTCACCCACCGCTCTTTCCCCGGGGCAGAGGAGCAGGGAGGAGCAGGCAGGAGGCAAAGATGGCCAGCAGAGCTCGCAGGGCACCGACGGCGGGGTCTCCATGGAGGAAAACTCCCTCTACAGCTCCCGGGATAAAGGTGGGTACCAGGCAGGGGGGGGAAGGTGGGTTTGTTGGCATGGGAGGCAGCGCAGGCCCCCCAGCATCTCATCACCCCCCCTTTTCCCTCGACACCTCGGCCGGGTTTGTGCCGGGGAGCAGCCTGCACGTCGCCGCGGTGGAAAGTCTCCCAAAATAGCCTCTTCCTGCTCTGTGGTTTGGTGAGGGCTGGGGTTTGCCTTATCGGCCGGACCCCGCTTCCCCGGCTCACGGGGGGGGG